TTGTTCTTGAGACCAATCATAGTATTTAAGACCCATATAAGTACACAAACACTTGTTCTTGAGACCAATCATAGTATTTAAGACCCATATAAGTACACAAACACTTGTTCTTGAGACCAATCACAGTATTTAAGACCCATATAAGTACACAAACACTTGTTCTTGAGACCAATCACAGTATTTAAGACCCATATAAGTACACAAACACTTGTTCTTGAGACCAATCACAGTATTTAAGACCCATATAAGTACACAAACACTTGTTCTTGAGACCAATCACAGTATTTAAGACCCATATAAGTACACAAACACTTGTTCTTGAGACCAATCACACACACATTCTTGTTTGGGTTTCTAATCATTTATATACATATATATAGTTTGACAGAATAATGGAGTTTGAATAAAAACCAAGTAAGTTTTATAAAAGTTTAATGAGAACACAAAATATTTCCAGAAACACACAGTTGTTGTTTCTAAATGCATAAACCAGTTCAACTGTCAGAAATCCTACTGCATATTTCCATGTCAACACAAAGACAATTCAATAGAAACATGAGGCCATAAAAGCACTAGAACAAGAGGATAGATCACCTGAAGCACGTACATGCTAACAAGAGGATAGATCACCTGAAGCACGTACATGCTAACAAGAGGATAGATCACCTGAAGCACGTACATGCTAACAAGAGGATAGATCACCTGAAGCACGTACATGCTAACAAGAGGATAGATCACCTGAAGCACGTACATGCTAACAAGAGGATAGATCACCTGAAGCACGTACATGCTAACAAGAGGATAGATCACCTGAAGCACGTACATGCTAACAAGACAACAGATCACCTGAAGCACGTACATGCTAACAAGACAACAGATCACCTGAAGCACCATGCTAACAAGACAACAGATCACCTGAAGCACATACATGCTAACAAAACAACAGATCACCTGAAGCACGTACATGCTAACAAGACAACAGATCACCTGAAGCACGTACATGCTAACAAGACAACAGATCACCTGAAGCACGTACATGCTAACAAGACAACAGATCACCTGAAGCACGTACATGCTAACAAGACAACAGATCACCTGAAGCACGTACATGCTAACAAGACAACAGATCACCTGATCACCAAATCACCAATCAGATACATGTTAACAAGAAGAAGGCAAATCACCAAAAGACCCACTCACAAAAATACAGGTCATCAGAAGCCAAAACATGCAAACAAGAACACAATCACCAGAAGCAAGCACATGAATATAACAGGTCATCAGAAGCCAAAACGTGCAAACAAGAACACAATCACCAGAAGCAAGCACATGAATATAAGACAAGTGTGATACTACACTGTCTCTAAATAGTCCTTGATATGTCAGAGGAAAATGTTAAGTTTCTTAAGTAACATTTATACATAACCTTACTTCTTCTGATTAAACACAGTTTTAATCTAAAGGTTAAAATGCCTTGACCTGGTAAAATGACTTTTACACAACTCACATTTTAACATCTTGTTTCCCAGCAGCATTTTCAAGTTTTTTCTCATCCTTGCCTGGAATGTCAAAAAACTACATTACTAGAAACCCAATAAAAACCTCATAAGTGTTAGGGTTAGTTTAGACACCTAAATCTGCTTTCACACCCTGAAATATTTAAATTATTCATAGTTACAGTTTCAAATCTACACATTTTCAGTTACAATGCAGCATTTTGACTGGCTTAATTTAAATTGAAGAAAACTGTATAAATCACTGGATATGACAGATATCTTTTTCATAACAAAACAAGTACCAAGTTCTTGAAAGAACATCAAGATATAGGTCTACCTTGTTGGTCATATTTTGGCAAAAATAAAAGAAGAAGAAAAAAAAAACACTGAACATTTGTGTGTACACAGCTCATGTTACTACATAATATACATTAATAGCCAGATGAGGTGAACTTATTTATAGATTGTACACAGCTCATGTTACTACATAATACACATTAATAGCCAGATGAGGTGAACTTATTTATAGATTGTACACAACTCACGTTACTACATAATACACATTAATAGCCTAATGAGGTGAATTTGTTTATAGATTGTACACAACTCATGTTACTACATAATACACATTAATAGCCAGATGAGGTGAATCTATTTATAGATTGTACACAGCTCATGTTACTACATAATACACATTAATAGCCAGATGAGGTGAATTTGTTTATAGATTGTACACAGCTCATGTTACTACATAATACACATTAATAGCCAGATGAGGTGAATCTATTTATAGATTGTAAACAGCTCATGTTACTACATAATACACATTAATAGCCAGATGAGGTGAATTTGTTTATAGATTGTACACAGCTCATGTTACTACATAATACATATTAATAGCCAGATGAGGTGAATTTATTTATAGATTGTACACAGCTCATGTTACAACATAATACACATTAATAGCCAGATGAGGTGAATTTGTTTATAGATTGTACACAGCTCATGTTACTACATAATACACATTAATAGCCAGATGAGGTGAATTTATTTATAGATTGCTGCCTGTGAGGAATTTCAAATCATGCACACTCATCCTGTTAAAGAACTGCCCAATCATGTATCTTATAATATAAAACTTTTAAAGAAAATTACTTCTTAAAGTATTTATGCCAATATTTCATGTTAACTCTTTCAGTCCAGGCTCGGTCCCTAGGACTGACCTCATAACCATTTTGTGCTTGTTATA